CTCCTCCATACAAATGTTTGCCGATGATGGCAAGTTATTTCGGGAAATTAAGAACCAAGCGGACTGTGAAGAGCTGCAGAAGGACCTCTGTGGGCTCCAGGAATGGTCGAAGGAATGGCTGCCGAGATTCAATGTCACGAAGTGTAAGAGGATGCACCTGGGGCGTACCAACGGTAAGGAGGCGTACCATATGTCCCAACGGGATGAAGAAAATGTACTAGTTGAGACTGTGTGAGAAGGGCCTAGGTGTGTATGTTGACAATGAGCTGAAGTTCTCGGGCCATTGTGAGAAGAAGGTAAATCAGGCAAATAAATTATTGGGTCTTATAAGAAGGTCGTTCAGATATCTAGACGGTCCGTCCCTCGTGACGATCTTCAGGAGTGAAGTGCTTCCCCATCTGGAGTACTGTCACCCCATCTGGTCCCCGAGATATGCTAGGGACTGTCAGTTGGTTGAAAATGTTCAAAGGAGGGCCACCAAACTGGTGCCTGCACTTCGCACCTCAGCTACCCTGAGAGATTGGAGCGCCTGAACTTGCCTAGCTTATACTACAGACGGGCAAGGGGGACCTAGTTGAGGTTTATAAGCATCTCAGGGGGCACTACTCAGTTGAGTGTCCTTACTTGGAGCTGGCGGACGCTCGCCCCACAAGGGGTCACAGCTCAAGATTGAAGAAGCCGCAAGTCCAGAAAACCGTGAGGGCAAACTTTTTCGGAGTGAGGGTTGTAAACTCTTGGAACAATCTACCAGAGAGTGTTGTGACGGCACCGAGTGTGAGCTCTTTCAAGAGAAGACTTGACCAACACTGGAGCGGGTTCAGGTACATTCAGGAGCCGGTGCATGCCCAGTATTTGCCAACAGTGCGTGACAGAGACGTGACCGATCGCCCGGGCGGCTAGCGAGCCGATCTTTTGGTGAAGAATATAAATGAAAAGAGACGTGACCGATCGCCCAAGCGGCTAACAAGCCGATCAGTGGCGAAGAGGATAAAAGTAAAAGTAAAGGTCGACCATGCTTTATGGTAGGATTACAATCCTGAAAAATAATGTCATTAAAATTTGAAATTGAAGCAGATTTTCTCACCGACTCCCATTATAAATTGGGAGACATGTTCACATAGGTAGAGGACATAGTAATGAGAGATATATATATTATCATTGATAATGTAGTCTCGTTCAAGATTGACAACACTGCTGGAGACAGCTGGCAATTCAAGTCCATATGCAGTATAATATAATATGAAACAACAGAGCCCAACCATTAATTAAGCAACGGAGAACTAAGTAACCAATCACCGATCATTTTTACATTCATTCATAATTTTAACTACATACTATAGTAAACAAACGGCCTCGAGTTGCCAGATGTCTCCAGCAGTGTTTGAAGAATCTTGAACAAGACTGTACATATCTTTCAATCCATGTCCTGGGTTCAATCCCCAACACAGGACATACAGCATGTGAGAAGGGTGTTTTACTGAGTCTACCTAACATGGCAACTTTTCTCCAGTTAAAGAAGTTTCCTCCTGTACACTGAAGGTCATAACAAGAACAGACCAACTGCTCAAATGGAATAGTAAGCTGATAAGTTGTGAAATGATAAAGAAATAAATACAAATGAATAAATACACTAAGCTTGTTTTAAGCACTTTTTTTTGAGGAACAAAATTCAAAACAATAATAATACTGTACTGTACAGTATTCTACTTAGGAGAAACTGCAGTGGTTAGTGCTTAAGGTTATTTCCTGTATACTGTACAGTATACAGTTTTTCTTAACAAGTTCTTAAAAAAAAAGCCACACACATCAAGGGTCTGGAGAACACTGTTTACTGTCCTTCTTCAGAACAGAAAGCTCCCACATGCCTGCGTCAACACCCTCCATAATCCAGGGGTTTCATCAGTAAATCAATGCAGTGGATAGATCTTTTTTCATATCTTTGAAAATCCATAAACTGGGTGTCCATAAATCATGGTTGCCCAGTATTCATCGCACTATCACATAAAACCGTGTATTCTTATATTTAAGGGCACACAATACTGTACTGTATACTGAACCTGTACAACAGGTGAATGAAATTATAACAGTTGCATTTTTCAAGATTATCTGGATGTAAATAGTCAAAGAAAATAGTCACATTACACTTACCGTGCCTTATGTTCTGAAACCCATGTGCAGAATTTGCGTAAAATTCCCCATTCAGACTTGAACCTCAAACCTTCACTGTTACTTTACCCAAATTCTTTGTCATGAGTTTTGGAACATAAGACTAGACAAGTGTAACATAACTTTTTTCTTTGACTGTACATTACAGGGATACATTATTTCTAAGAGTTCCACGACATTATTTACTTCTCACACAATAGTACAGAAAACTGGTAAACTTCTCCCAAAGAATAAAAACTATGGGATAAGAACATCAAGTCATTTAACAAACCATGAAACTATATATATGCTGCCGTCTGATCAACTTGATATGGATAGTTAAAAGGTTATTCGAGTTTTGAGTCCATTTTACACAATACAATGCAACTTAAAGTAGTCTTTCTTTGCTCTTATAACATCTAACAGGTTAGGGCACATTTGGGCTACACCCATCCCCACATGTGCCCCTTTATCTATCATCAGACATATTCATCCCTGCTATCAGTTTGGAGCTAAAGGATGTATAAAAAAAGTGGCAATGCAACTTTTACTACAGTGATATATGTCTCCTTGGACATTAAGAGTCGATGCAACTCTTACAGTGATAAATGTCTCCTAGGCCACCAAAAATTGATGCAGCTCTTAGTGATGTCTCCTAGGCCACTAAGAATTGATGCAGCTCTTACAGTGATAAATGTCTCCTAGGTCACTAAAAATTGATGCAGCTTAATGATAAATGTCTCCTTGACCACTAAAAATTTATGCAGCTCTTAGTGATGTCTCCTTGGCCACTAAGAATTGATGCAGCTCTTACAATAATAAATGTCTCCGAGGCCACTAAGAATTAATGCAGTTCTTATGGTGATAAATGTCTCTTTGTCAATAAGGATAATAATTTAATATATCTACAGACTCTATTACAAAAAATATCAATGCCCCTAATTTGCCATTTTAAATATACCAGAAGCCTTATATAATAGTATAATCTTTACTTGGCTGGCATATGCTGCTTCCAATGGAGGATATGATCATTAGCATTGACAAATACTATATGCAGTTATTTGTAATAGATGAAAGTAATAACATCAGTGGTGAGATCCAGTGACCCTTCCCTTACCTACAACAAGAAGTCACTCATTCATATGGTATTGTCAGAAGGTTCATTTTCCAGTTTCTCTGAAGCTGTCTCCTTTACAGCCTGACTTTCATATTCATTATCTGTTTCACCATCTACTGTATCTCCTGTTTCTTCTACGTCTTCTTCTTCTTCTTCTTCTTCTTCATAGTCATCATATTCATTATCCTCTTCATCATCCTCATAATAATATTCACTTTCTTCATCTACGCTTAGTGAAGAGTTAACTGTAGGGGTTGCAGCCAGTTTCATGTAAGGCTCAAATTCATATTCAAATAACAAGAAATCTAAGATGAATTTATAATAAAGTTGCTTAACCTCACTAGAAGTCAACTGGGAAAAATAAGTCTTGGCAACATCGGACGTTCTCTTGGTCTGGTCAGTCTTGTGAGTCCACTCTATGTGTACCTCATCAGCGAGGCCGCGGTGGTACAGGATAAAGTCTGCATCTTGAGAGAGTGTTTCCATTTTGGCAATAACATCATATTTAATGTGGCAGGGTGTGCACAGGAGGAAGATTGGCCTCCAGTGCTCATCATATTCCTCGACATCAGAATCAAGGAGGTACTGGATGAACTCTCGGAATGTTGGTTCCTTTCGTGCATTGTGGTTCACCTCTTCACTTATGCTCGGCTTACGGTAGGCTTTAACAATCCTCTTGCCATAAATTGCATAATAATATCCACCCCTGGAAATAATTTTTTTTAATTAAATATATCATTCCTTCACTTGATAACTGACAGGTTCAAGATGAAAGTTTGTGACATTATGAATATAAAAATCCTGTACAGTTCTCACAAAGAGAATATTAACTAACACAATGGTGTAATGTGTGATCAACCTGAGGATGTATTTCATTCAGATAAGACTTAAATGAGTCTGATTCAAATGAGGTCACAGCATGAAACTAGAAGTGCTTCATGTTCTCTTCCAACATAAATAAACTTCCATCCAGTCTTAAAGTTAAATTTTCAGGCTCTATGCTGCTGTTTGACTTTCTATCATTAACATACTTTTTGCCAGTTTCTGAGATAACACTTAACAGTTTGACGCTATATTTGTTAATCGCAAAGGTTGATTACCATTAATCTGCAAGACGTTAATTTGACACTTAATTGCACAAGTACATGTACTTAAACAAATCATACTCTTCATGTAACTTAATTTTCCCTAAAGTACTGTATGTGATTTAAATATATTTCACTACTTCCACAAATATCTGTGAAAAAACATAAGGTAAACTCTGAGATACATTCTCCTGGATTCTTCTTCACGTAATCTAACACTTTATTTTTGAGCCACAAGTATAATAACTTAATTCATCACAGATCCCTTGAAGAGTCATTCCCCCAGCTTATTTCACCTGTTAATCAAACACCTTAATGCTACCATGGGGCTGGGTTAGATTAGGTTAACATTAGGGTGGTTAATCTTAAAGTGAAATAAGCTTGAGGGGATAAATCTTCAGATGAACCAAATTTGCTGATAAGCCATCAAAAGTATAAACAACACAGGTACTTAGTTTATTGTTGAGCCAAAAGAGTACAAGTAGTACAGTGCTGTGTATCACCAGAAAATACCATTAAACTAATTTAAGTATAAAGTATAACCAAAGATAAGTGGCAGACAATAGCCTTTACCTGTCCTTTACATCTCGTTCATAATTCTCCAGTTTGTCACGATATGCTGAGAGAACTCGCTCAAATGGGTGACGCACCACCTAGAAAAAAATTAACCAGGAAGATATGTGATGACAAGCTATATTAAGAGTAATACTTTTACTATGTATGATTAGTAATAAGCTAATGATCTTAAATATGCATGTTTGATCTCAGCCACTCAAACAAGTCTTGTGATATCCAGTAGTATCTATATCTATTTTGCTACTTTTCACTGTACTCAACCTGGTTTTTTATGCAACTGACTCATACATAATCAGATATGACAGTCAACAGATCCTTGCCAACCAGTAACTTTAGAACCATAATTCTTGCACCCTTTACACCTCTAGCACTTTCTCTGTCCATTTTTTGATGATCAATATCCTTACATCCATTTCAAATTCACTACACTTCCAGCAGATTTTTATTCACCATTCTTGCAGTTGATTAATTTTGCCAAACCACCTTTCCACCACGTTTCATGTGAACAACAGACATCGAGCTTTCTATGGCTCAATGCCTCCACAATTTCATCTATTCTTCCCCAAATCATACCAACATTCAAACTTCCAGTTCTGAACCCAACTATGTCAGGTTCCTTCACTTTGGTCACACACAGTTTCCATAGTTTCTTATGGTGTACGTACAGTGTAGGTGATTTTTATATGGCAAGTGTACATTTGTTCTTAGTTTGAATAGTCATGTCTGATAGTCAGCTAACAAATTGAAAGGGACCCACCCGCACACCACCACAAACCTGGGTACTGTCATGTTTGTGACCCTGATGCCATAGCAAGAGCAGTCCAGTGACTTTGGGGTGACCCACACAATCAGATTCAGGGACACCCTTCCAAGAGCGACATGGCACTAAAGCTGGCGGCAATATTATGCACTTGATGTTGGAGCAGCGTCTCAGGGTGCTACCTCTGAGTTTGAGCTCCTGTTCTGTCAAGTACCGTCTGTGATGGAAACATGTCAGCCCAGATAATGCAGCAGAAACAAGAGGATGGGCACAACTCTGGTGACCCAGTTGCCATCAGGTATGTTGAGGCAGTTTTATGGCTGGAAGACCTTCCTAACACCAACACAGTTGGCAAGACAGGGTCACAATTTTCCAAGGTAATCAACAAGTTACTCTCTTACCGATAAGTTCCTAAGAATCCTACAATTTTTAAGTTTCATCGTTACTTTATTGAAGGTTGCCTTTTATACGATCTTAAGTTTGGAATACAAATAACTAGTATAGTATACTATAGTATAGTAATGCATTTCCACTGTAATTTGTTTTCAGTTTCAGTAATAACCTGTGAAACTTTCCTTCGGTCTGAAAAAAATGAGTTATCTTGTCAACATACCTGTACAATAGTCACCACAATTTTTGCCCCATGTGAATAGAAGTACAGTACTGTACAGGAGCAGACCCATGCAAGCTATGATGATGATATTTGTGGACTGGGTATACCATTCACTTGGCTGTTCAGGGTATGCCAAGGCGACATTTTCTCACATTTTATTGCTGCCACACAAGAGGGGCACTGGTTGAAGGTAAATTCCCACCCCAGGGTGAAAATATGTACTGTACCTATACTAACTGTCTAGCTACAATAAATCACCTGCTACATACTCTACCTCACAACTAACTTACAACACCAAAAGAAACTCTACCTAAGAAGGACATCAAAAAGTAAAACTATTTCAATACCGGTATTTGTAAAATCTATAATTTTCTAGTTTAAAAAAATATAAATAAAACAGTAGAATATATCTAATAATGAATCTACTTTAAAAACTAAACTACGGCACAGTACTAAGACTGTCTACACAGTACAATACTGTACCTAGGTTGCACCCCGTCAGTCTCGCCCCCTTCCTGCCAATACTAACAAGGCCACCAGGAGGAGTAGGGTGGGGCTAATGTATTGCTACACACACACTGCCCAATATGGGCCAATAGGCACACTGCAGTTTTCTCCAATCTTATGTTCTTATGTTGTTCTCTTACTTAGCTTTGTTTACTTTTTTTACGGGATTAGCCCACCAGAGCACAGGTCACTGACCCACATCAAGGCCTGGAGGCAAAGTTATTATTACGTATAATAATAATAATAATAATAATAATAATAATAATAATAATAATAATAATAATAATAATAATAAAAATATAAAAAAAAATAAAAAAATATATTATAATAATACTAATACTAATAATAAAGGACCATAAATAAATACAAATAAAAAAAAAAGACTAATACAGTCAGTTCTGCTATAACGCAATTGTTGTGTTCTTGTAAAACATCGTGTTATAGAAATTCGCGTAATAGAAATAACAGGGCTTATGGAGAAAATAGGGTTAGGTGCGGATTACTACTCGAAATCGAAAAAAATTAATAGTTAGCCTAACACAAAGGATAGCACAGTCTAAATAAATGTTACATTCATATCTAATAATGAAATCATACAGTAAATGAAACACTTTACCTTGAAAAAATATGAATATAACTTGATAGGGGAGAAGGGTGATTTTGAGGTAGATAACATCGAGCTTCTATTCAAGGGCTATAGACTTTCTTTTACGATCATCACCGAGAATGTGATCACCAGAACGCTTCTTGGAGATATTCTTCTTTACCATATTCACAGTTAATACCACAAAATTGGAGAAATAGTAAGCAAAAATCACGTTACAGCAAACAAGCGTTCGCGTTATACAGTACAAATATCGTTCCTCTATTCATAAATCGAGTTAGAGCCAATTCGCGTTGTCAAAACACGCGTTATAGCAGAACTCACTGTAGTGAGAAACGGTACAGTACAGTGGTCCCTCGGTTAACGAGCGCCTCGGTTAACGAGATTTCGGTGAACGAGTTACTTCCCATCAGATTCTTAACTTCGGTTAACGAGCAATCCCTCGATTAACGAGTTTCTTTTATTAGCCGACCTCAACATGTTTTCGCTTACACTTGGCGGTCAACCAGCTGTAGTATTAGTTCGCTGTACAGTAATCAGTTCTCGGGCTTAAATTCCTTACTATTTTATTAAATATCAAGAAGTATATACTATTCAATCATTTTAAAAGTTAAATATCAAATTTTTTTGTCATTTTAACAATTATTGAACATAATTGAAGGTAAGGTCACTAGTTTCTGGCGCGTCATTCAGCCTTTTAACACACCAAACAGGCGTTAGTCTCTCTCTGTTTTCAGTGGAGGTAACATCTTGCTTGAGACTCTCTTCAACTAAGCGCTTTTTTTCTGCGTTTCCAAGCAAATTATTGGTAATTTTGAAATTTATTTTACATATTGACAATATATAGTGCAGTGTTATTTTAAAGAAAATATTCTTTATTTACAGCTAGTTTATACTTAAAAGATCACGTGTTGACATTGTTTGAATCCAGCATGGGGCCTAAGAGATCAAGAAAAGCGATTTTAATCCAAACCAAGCAGGAAATTATTAAGAAACATGAAGAAGGCATTAGAACAAATGCGCTATGCAAAGAATATGGCATATCGACATCAACTGTGTCGACAATTCTTGCACAGAAAGACAAATTTAAAGAAGTGAAAGTGAGAGAAAAATCTACCAGAGTGTTTAAAAGTAGATACCTAATTGCAGAAACTGAGAGGTTACTTCTCATCTGGATTAGGGAAAAACAGATGAAAGGTGATTCAGTTTCTACTGAATTCATTTGTGAAAGAGCCAGGGAGATTTACGAACATTTAAAGACAGATCAACCTGGTTCTTAAGGCGCAGAATTTTAAGATTTTCGGGCCAGCAAAGGCTGGTTCGAAAAATTTAAGAAAAGAAGTGACATTTTTAGTGTTGTTAGGCATGGTGAGGCTGCCAGTGCTGATAAGGAAGGGGCAGCAAAGTTTTTAGTGGAATTTAAAGAACTGATGGAAGAAGAAAATTATCTTCCACAGCAAGTATTCAATGTGGACGAAACTGGGCTGTTCTGGAAAAAGATGCCCAAAAGAACATTCATTGTAATGGTCATGATAAGAGCTAACCTGAAAACCTTAAGGATTCATATTACGCTCAAACGTCCACAAAACCTTCCGAGTCCCCCAGTGGAAACGTCCCCCGTTTTCTCTGTTTCCCCCGCCTTTGTCTATGGGAGCAGACGCTGTATGCTGGGACCTGTTGCCATCCATTCCTTTGTAATCAATTTAATTCTGCTTTCGATAGCTGAGTCAGAGCATTGTTAGTGAAGATAATAGTAGAGAATGAAAATGAGTTCATAGTCTCAATTTCAACGTCAGAGGGTACCGTAAATTAATTCATTGGAATAGGAGTAGCTGGACTCCCTGGCCTAGTTTGAGTGAGGGCACGCGGGCATTTTAACCGTTAGTAAGTGCCCGTCCCTTCATCCATACAGGTATGCCATTCCACGCTGTGTTGTAATTTGCCCTTCTTTAAGTGATTTGACCCAATTGATAGTTGATTGTGCAAGTGTTACAGTAACGTAGTTGATATGCTCTGAGTAAAGTCATATTTACGTCTTTAACGTCCCCTGAAACGTGTTGTTGTTGTCACCAGTTAGTAAGTGCCCGTCCCTTCATCCATACAGGTCCCTAACGCAGCCTAGGCCGTGTCTGTAGGGTGGATGTTGTATCCACTATGTCTGGGGACATGTCCGAGGTCCAGTAGGATCAGTTACCTTCGTGAGACCCGGCCGTCAGACACTTCAGACCACCTATAGCCCCCATAGCTGGCTCGTCTGGCCCTAACGCTCGGTCCACGAGGTGACCCTGGACCACCAAGCCACACACCACTACCAGCCCCCATCATTGGTGGATGAATGTCTACCTCAGTAGGGCTATATTTGTGTGGTGGAATTAACCCACTGGGATCTCCAGAGTTCGTCGGATAGTACTCCATGGTGGCTGGACCCCATGGCTGTTGCTTGAGTATCACTCCTGACGACTGAGTGTTGTAGTGGCAGTTGCTCTAATATGTATGGTGCTAAGTGACTATCCTAGTTGTGCTATTGAGTATGTCCACCCAGTAGGGTTGGAAGGGTATTGAATATGTCCACCCAGTAATGGTGTGAGTATGT